AATTTTAATTGATTTGAGGTGTTTTATTTTTGTAATGATGAACTATCTGACTATATTTGTGAATGTGTGAGAATATTTTTGTCTATTTTCATATCATGTGAATGTAAACAACATGACTATCTTAAAAAGTATAATCAATAATCTTGTTTTAGTTTATTTATATATTTTAAATTAAAATTCATATATTATCCGATTGGTGATTAATGTAATTATATTGCTATCATTAAGAAAAATAGTTGATAAGTATTTGCCATTTTTTCCTCCTTCGTATAAATCAAATTCATTTCTATGATATATAATTACACACTTTATTTTTTTTATTTATGAAAAAGTTTCATTCATTTTATACAGTAAAGTGGATATGAATGATTTTACTTTAGTTTTAAACATTAATATTTTGGAGCATTTTTAAAGAAGCTTGATAACTATTCTCAGCAAATTCTTCTATCATAATTCGTAATTATTCATTTTCCAACTCTTTTTTCAAATTATGTTTATTTATATTCGAAATAACTTTTTGAATTTTTTATTTCAAAGAGAGTTTGTAGTTTTTATAGTTTATAAAATAAGTATTTGTTTAATTTATATGATTTTACTTTAGCTTTATATATAAATCTTTCTAAGGTTTTTTTATAAAGTTTGATAATTATTTTCTGTAAGTTTTTCGAATAAATCGTTCCAAACTCCTTTTCATGAATGAAAAATTTGTAATTTATATGATTTGTAAAATAAGTATTTGTTTTTCTTCAAATTAATCATATTAAAAGCCTAAAAATAAATACCCAAAATATAAATACTTAAAAACAACCTAAAATATTTAAAAGCCCATTTTAAAATAAAAATTATGCTGATGTGGACACCATAGATGGAGAGATAACTTGCTCATTTTATATACTAAGGATGTTACCGCGCTACGCGCGGATTGTTTACATAAATATTAATTATTATTTTAGTAAAATGATTTTAAATATAATATTTATTTTCAATATCATTTTTATTTGGTCATACATCTAAAAGATTTTAACGTATTCAAAAAATATATTATGATTTAATTTAAAAATTAACTAATTTGATATATGTGAAAATTAATCGTTAATATAAAACTTAAATATTTACATATAAACTTATTACTGCTCACCAACTTTCAAACTATGATTAAAATTATTTGTGTTTTAACTAAATTTGATATATAATTGAACTCAACAACTATAAGTTTCCTCTTTATTTAATTTAAAACAATTTTTCATTTAAAACAAATTACTTATCAAACATATGGCTACAATTGAAACACCTATATTTAGTTCCAATTAATTTACATATCTTTTCATTTTAATTGTGTTCGTGTAATGGAATTTTTTATGAGCAGTCTTAAATATAAAACAACAATTAATGTTCAAAATTCTTACAAATCCGTAAAAGAACTATTGTTCATATAAATAAAAATAACTTTTACATATTATACAAAATCACAATCATATTGATAAACTGCATTTTTGATTTGGTCTCTGAAGTATATGTAAACTATAGTAGTGTAGATGAATAAATCAAGTAATACATATACAAATACATCTTCACACTAACTCACTCTGTTAAACAAAGTATGTCGAGTTTCTCAAAACTCAAAATGTGTAAAAGATTTATTTGCATTTGCTTATTTTTCTTACACTACGTATATATTTTGGTGAAATTTTATAATTACAATTAATAATATATTATATTATTTTAAAAGAGTTTCTTAACCAAAAAAAAACAAATTAGTTTTCCTTACATGTTGAGTTTGTAAAAAAATTATTTTTTTGTTGATGTACATGGTTAGAGAAGTGTTTATGATATTTTCTTTCATATAAAATTATATATACTATTTTTAAATATGGAAGTGTTATATATTAATGTTTAATATAAAGTTATGCAAGTATATTTTTACATATCCATGACTATAATATAATGATGATTTATACTATACTGTAATTAATTTAATTTATACTTAAAAGTATTTAGCCAAAAATATAGGAAGAGTATGTACATAATCATACATATTTGATGTTTTTAATTATTGTGTGAACGAACTTAATACCTCATAATATTATATCATACATATTTGATGTTTTTAATTATTATGTGAACGAACTTAATACCTCATAATATTATATCTTAATGATTTTAGTTTAAAATATGATTATTATTAATTTGGGATGTAAGAATTTAAAATATTATATATATAATATATTTTTATTTTTGTTAAAATCAAGTTATAATATGTCATGTGTTTTGTTACCATAGTACGTACAATTTAATCAATATTCAAATATTATTATTATTGTTAATTAAACACTATTTAATTTTTAGCATGTTAATAATATATTAAAAATTATTTTTTATAAAAGTTTGCCAATGTGGTATGATTATAGAGATTTATTTTTTGCTGATGTGGATGACTTTAGGAGCCTCAAACTTCTCTTTCCGTTTAGTATAAGATGATTTGCTTTAAATTTTTATTTTATCTATTGAATATATCTTTTAAAGATTTTTTTTCTATATTTTCTTTTTTGTATTTATCTTTGTTATCTCTTCTGTATATTATTTATGGATATATATAGCTTCATCAATTTTCTACTTTTTTAATCGTCTAAATTTTAATATTAGTAATATTTTTTTAACTTTTCTTAATTTATCATTTTGATGTTATATATATATATATATAAGTTTTGAATTTTATATAGTTTTTCTATCTATTCTTCTTACTCCTCTCTATATTATTTTATACAATTTGTTATCTTTTTGATTTTTTATTAAATATTTTTGGGGGTTTATGATTTTATAGGCTGAATTTAACTTCTTAATTTATTCAAAATCATAATTTGTTTTTTTTCTTCACTTTCATTAAAGTTTAATTATTATTTTCTGTTTGGAAATAATGATTAAATAACTAGCTACAAAAATAGAATGATGCACTTAAAATCATGTATTATATAAGATTTATATGTTTATGATGTTTTCAATTAATTTTAAATTTCATTTACTTACAATAAATTTGAAATAGTTAAGAGCAGATTTATTAATTTTTAAGAGTCAGACACATGTTAATATTTGTGTATGTCGTTAGTTGATTTCTTTAAAAAAATGATTAATGTTTTTTTTTGAAATAGATTAAAAGGGGAAGTCTGATATGTCACAATCTTAAGAACCCTATTCATCTATTATATACTATAGAATTTGTGTTACATGTGGTTCTAATTTTAATTTATGTTTTAAAAATATGTTTTGAGACTTTTATTTGACTATCAAATTTTCTTTCATTTTTTGTTTAACTTTTTTTTGTTTTTTCAGTTTTTTTTTGTTATGATCTTCATCATTTTTCCCATACATTATCTTATGAATATTTATTTGGTATTCAATCTTTATATTATTTCATTCACCTAATTCTCAATATTATCATAATTTTTAAATTTCTAACCACTTTGAGTTTTCTGTTGTTTATGTATATCTTCCATTAGTTCAATGTTTTCATGTATTAAATTACCTATATATTTTTTTGTATCCATTCTTATTTTTTGTCTGTTTTTTTTTTCTCCTCTCTAATTTTTTTATAATCTGTCATCTCTTTGATTATTTACTGAATATTTTTTTGTATCTTATGATTGTATAGGTTCGTGTTTTATTTTTCAATTGATTGAAATTTCTTAACTTATTCTGATTTACAGTTTACCATTTTACTTCACTTATATTAAAATTTAACTATCTTTATTTATTTGGAAATGATGGAAAGATACATATAATATTTATCTGTTTATATTGATTTTATATTATGTTTTAAATTAAATTACTTTATATCTATGTTTTAATGATTTCTTAAGTAGTTAAATTCAATTAATGATTTTTTACATAATTAATGTAGTTTACGCATGTTAATTTAGATTTTATTTTCTTTATGTTTATGTTTATCTTTATATTCTAGTGATTTTTTAAGTAGGTAAATTCAAAATTTTTAATGATTTTTATATAGAATTAATGGCTTATATATGTGTCATTTTTAGACTAAAAAGATATGGATTGATGTGTTGACGTTAAAGAACCCTCTTCGTTTATTACAGTAGATAGTTGATGATAAAACAAACAACAATTTATATTTAAGTAAAATTTATGAGAAGTAAACCAACGGTAATTTACTTTGACTCAAACACACAAAAAAGTATTTCCGTACTTTCTGAAAATCTTTTTATTTTTTTTATTCTTTTTTAAATAAAAAAGATTCTCACAGTTAAATTATAAGGTAATATTTTATATGGTACTGTGTAGTGTTCGATAAGTCATCCACTCACAAATATCCACTTTTTGTCACTCTATTTAATTCATATTCTTTATAAAAAAAAACTAAGGCAATAATTTTTTGGTAATTATTTAATTATATTCCATCTAACTATATTTTTAAGCATAATTACAGATAAATCATTCGTTAAATAATATATCTCTTCTTTACATTTTCTCTTATTTGTTGAAGAAATATTCAATGAGTAGAATAAATATGCTGATCCCTCGAGTCAATCCAAAACCCCACCTTACTTAATTTGACCAACCAATGTGAAGAAAATGAGAAGAACCAGCACAAAATATTATCTTAAAATTATCTAAAAGTAAAACTAATCGTATTTCCATTTACAAAAGTAAAAATCCATTTATCTGGTTAAAAAATCAATTCGTATCCTGATTATATATGTTTTGTAAATTTGGCATAGGAGTGTGGGATTCAAACCAAATTACATAGATTAGAAAGAAAAAAAAAAGTGAAATGAACGTAGAAAAGGTACAAAATTCAATTGATTGAAGGAAAAATAAAATAAAAATACCTCATCTTTTGACAAAGACGTAGAGTATGCATTGTTTTTGCCCTTTTTGTATGTTTCTCTTTAATTTTACGTTTTATATTTCGTATTAATTATTAATTGAAGTACTATAAGATGCACCAAAGGGTAGGTGAAAAGGCTAATATATATAAAGTGAGAGTAGATTTGTTTATTCACTCTAAAACTATATTAATTCTAAGAACTCTCTCTCTCGATCATTATCATCATCTCCATATCATCATGTCTTCAAACAAAAACTGGCCTAGCATGTTCAAATCCAAACCCTGCAACAGTCATCATAATCATCATGAAATCGATACACCATCATACATGCAGTACTCTAATTGCAACATATCTTCTCCATTTTCCTCAGGTAATTCATTCACAAATTCAAATTATCTATCTCTTCTTTATCTTTTATTTTTGCTCCCATAATATTTTGTTTATTTCATGTCTATACACACGTCCTTCGCTATGGAAAAAAGATATGCTATGTTATATACTATATGTTAATCAAGACATGCATGATGAACTGTAAACAACTTGTGAATCAGATCGTGTACCAGATCCAAAACCGAGATGGAACCCTAAGCCGGAGCAGATTCGGATACTCGAATCAATTTTCAATTCGGGTATTGTAAACCCACCTAGAGACGAGATACAAAAAATCAGGATCCGACTTCAGGAATATGGTCAAATCGGAGACGCAAACGTGTTTTACTGGTTTCAAAACCGGAAATCTCGAGCAAAACACAAGCTTCGTGTTCTTCAAAAAAACCCTAAAATGTCCAAGAAGGAGAAGATCATTACTCTTAATGATGCCGATCCTTGTTTTGGTTTGGTTAACCAAAAAAACGATTTATTTCCGGGTCAAAACAGTGAATTTGTGTTGACTGAACCGGCCAGTTTTCTATTTCCGGTGCACAATGATCCGAGCACGGCTCAATCAGGGTTTGGTTTTACTGATTTTGTTGTGCCGGTGGTAACTGAAGAGGGGTTCTCCGCTGTTAATAACGGCGTTAATTTGGAGATCGATGGATATTTAGATAATATTCCGGTGAACAATTTTTACGGCGGCGATGGAAACGGCGGTGGAAATTGCTCTTCTCCTATTTCGGCTCCTGCTACTATTCCTTTAACCATCAATCAATCTCAAGGTAATTAATCATTTCGCAAAATAATAATATTAATTTTTTTTTATCTTCCCATAGATATGATATGATTTATAATTTTTACGTTCATATACGTATATTATGTATAAGTCAAAGTAATAATATAGATTTATTGGTTATTTTTATTTCAGATTCTTATAAATAATAACTATTTGGTGTCACCGTATATTATAAAAATTAGTTATTTTTATTATTTCCAAGAGATGTTAAATTGCATGTACGAGCATGATGTATATGTAAGTCCCCTTTGATGTATATAAATCCCCTATATATTCACCATACGAGCAGAATGCATTCACATACAAATATGGTAAGTATGTTATTAATCAACTAGCTTATTTATTTTTTTTGACCGAGTAACGCATGCATACGTGTTTTATGGAAAAGACGTTTTGGTCTTTCGATTTGACCGTTTACTGTAAAATTTCCCGAAAAGTTTTTCTTGTGTAAATATATTTTTAACTTTATAAAAATTAATTACATAAACGTGTTCCATTGGGTCATAAGAAGAACGAGTCATGTGATGTGACTCGTGTTTTTTGCGTATGTACCAGGGAATGTAGTACTATCCGGTGGTGGAGACGGCGGAGATTGTATTTCTCCCGTGAGATTGACTGTGTTCATCAACGACATGCCTTTTGAAATGGTGGCCGGATTGTTCAACGTAAGAGAGGCTTTTGGAAACGACGCTGTTTTGATCAACTCGTTTGGGCAACCTATTCTCACCGATGAATTTGGTGTTACTTTTCAACCTCTTCAGAACGGCGCCGTTTATTACCTTGTAAATCTTTTCTTTTTGCTAATATATATGGTTTTAAGATTTATCATTTTGTGAGAATTGTTGAAAAGGGTTTGTTGTTTTGTTTTGCAGATTTAGAAGATGGTGAAGATCAAGTGTTATGGTCCTATGGACGAATATTAATACAATAAGAAATTTATGTGAGTTATTTAGCTACCAATTATATAAAGTTCGTTCTTTTCTAAAAAAAAAAAAAAAATTTACATTTTCGAGAATTTGGAAAGTCAAGAAAAAACGTTACGGTTTTATTAAAGTTTGTTCCCAATGTAATGTACCATTCTTAATGTTCGGCTTTATTTTTTAGTTTTTCTTTTCTCTCGAAAATTCGGATTTAGTATGCATGCCTATCACGTAACGTACATTTATTAACGAGAGCAAAGAACAAAGGTTAGTTTTGAAGTTTTGATGAATTAGTTTATTTTTCCTTGTGTAAACATTAGAGATAATCTGAAAAATAGGATATGTAATTCAGAGTAATTATTGTGACCAATGACCATCATATATAGGCTTATAGCTCGGATATGAACGAAATTAAGCTAATGAAACCCAAAAGGCCAAAACGTCTAAGTGTATTTGCGGTAGGACGTTTTAGAATTTAGATTTACGGGTTTAATTCGGATACTAATATATATGCTTCTCTCTTAATATCACCCGAATATGTATATTAGTTTATGAAATCTCATTACTTCGTGTATATATTCCTTTATTTCGAGTTATCTCAACTAATTATTCATATTGAGTTAAATTAAAGATAGCGGACAAATAAAAGTTTCAATTTGATTGATTTTTTGTTCTTAAGTTTCTTTTATGCGTATTTGAACAAAAAAAAATAAAAAAATCTTTTATGCGTAATGCGTGTATGTTTATTCTAAATATATGTGACTTAGTATGCAATGTATACGTCTGAATGTTTTTCCTGCCTTATTCGTATATTTAAATATAAATCTCATTAGTTAACTTTTACGGTCGACATTAATTTTAATAAAAAGTCGAGTAGCCAAATGATGGATGAAGATGTTATATAATGTTAGTGCGTACTTCTATGTATCTCCTTCAATCATCACCATCATTTCATTTTCTTAAAAATTCCATTACCATCATCCTCACCATCATCTCCTCTAGCTGGAACAAGAATCATCATAAGAAACACCATAGTGACAATCTGATATCCATACTCCATCTATCATGCACATCTCACTACAAAAAAAAAAGTTAATATTGTATTTACAAATCCATCATCAGACGTTACAACTTAATTACATCATATATGCATATACATACACATATATATATATCTTTTTTCTTATTGGGTTGGTTGCCGTCAGCTCTCCAAACTATACGTTGTCTATTTAATTCCCTCAAACTAAAGACTTCTGCATATTCCCACTCAAACAATTTATTTTCTGTCTATTCTCCCAAATTCAATTAGAAATTAAAATCGCGATTAATTTATAAAATCGTGTTTTTGTTAAATTGCGTTTTGGGGGGAAATATGCAGAAAACAAATTCTTTGGGTGGAAATATGCAGAAGTGTAGTCTAGGGAGAAACATGCAGAATTTATTAAGTTCAGGGGGCTGAGCGCAGTCAATTTAATTTTTAGGTTTTTCAAAATATTTAACACATAATTAACTTAATTATATCTATAATATATATGTATGATAAAATAAATGTATATTTCTATTAAGAATATAGCAATATGACAGCACAATTTATTTTTAAAAAATAAAACTAATATTGGTTATTTACTTGACATTAAACATCTTAGTTATTAACTAATGCAAGTTTATCATTTTCTACTAGTAGCACTTGTGTTTTTCCCCTTTAAAATTAAAATTCTTTGAATAAGTTTATTCCTAATTGACCCATTTATGAATTTAGTCGTACCGGATCCTAAAGCGGAATGGGAACCAAATCAACGGTGGTACGGTCAACCCATCTCTAACCGATGTCAAACAAATCACGACCCAACTTAAAAATTTTGGGGAAGAAGTCGAAGGCGCAGACGTTCACAAGTGGTTCCACAACCAAAAATTTAGACTCAAAACAAAGGTTTCGTGATGCCAAACATTTACCCTCAAAAGGTTTGTTAGTAAAACCGGGTTCCGGTTTTTAATAACGACGTTGAATAGCGAGTTTGTTTTTCCACCCATTTTCTTGTTCCATTAGTTAATTGCTTTCGATAGAATGATAATTTATACACTTACTTTTGATAAACAATGTATACAATTCTTAGTATTATATATCTTTTAGGTGAAATGGTAAGTTTGTGGGTATTATTAAAATCTGTTATTCACTTTTTATGTTTGAATTTTGCAGATTCCGATATATATAGAAGATGTTTAAAAAAAGAAAAAAAAAAGAGACGTTAAACAAAAAAAGTGGAGTTTAACCTAGAGGCTTCAATTTAAAAGCAAAACAATATGAAATTTAGTTACATGCAGCTCAGGTGAAGTTTCTTCAGATTGTACGATGTTATTTACAAGTTATCATATTTTTTAGTAATGAAATTTTAAATTAAAAAGTATTTTAGATTTTCTTTCAATTATAATTGCTCAAATGTGGCAACCATATATATACTTAACTTAATATAAAATATCTTCGAAAAAGAAAGTTATATATACAGATAATTAAACTGGAAAACCAAAGAAATGACAATTATGTATGGAGAATCTGGAGATTGTGGAGTTTACAACAGTCTATTGTAAGCTACTTATAAAAGGTATTACAGTAGTATGAAATTTCAACTAAAAGGATAAAGTGTTATGAAAATTTGAGACGGTGGTTGATCTAATAGATTAAAAACATAAAATACAAATTCTATAAAGTAATAATGTTGTGATTTTGATATTTTATTAATTTATATAGTGATTCATTTATATGATTTAAATTAAATTAAATTATTATTTAATAATTAATTAAAAATAATATTTATTTAAAAAGTTTATGATATTTGAAAATAAAAAGATGAATAATAAATTTATATCATTATTTCCTTTTTGATAAAAACAAATAATTATATATTTATATTTTTCATAAATTATTATAGTTATACATTTATATATAAAATTATTTTTATAGTAATTATTAATATTAATAGAACCGTAGATTTACATAAATTTGTTTAAAAAATTATTCTCTTGTTATTTTATCGTGATTTGTGTTATATTTTGAACCGATTCAATTTGAAACCAAAATAAATTATTAATTTATCAAGTTTATTAATTTACCGAATATTAATTTATAAAGTTTCTACTGTATATATAAACATACAACAAATATAGAAGTTCACACTATTTAGTATTTACAGAGATTCCTTATCGAAAGAGTTATGGTTTTAATCAAAAGACACGTTAAAAATGTTATCAAACAGTTTTGTGAATGAACAACATCAACATGGAAAACAAAAAAACAGAAAAAAAAAAACATGGAAAATTAAACACATAACTTAATGTATTATTCATACCAAAAAAAAAAAAAAAAACTTAATGTATTAACGAAAACACAGAAAGATAGAGATTTAGAGATCATCAACCAACTACAACAAAAGAAAAAGAAACGGATTATTAAAAGAGGAGATGGTGCACTAGGCTGAGATGGCTAGGATTGTCGAGCTTGAAGCCAAAGTCGATCGTATCAATATTCTCTTGTAAAGTGTTCAGTTTAATATTTCTTTTCTATATATACATATATTCCCTATATCATTTTTTTCCTGTGTGCTTAAGATTAATCAAATTTTCGTAAAATATTATAGGTTTTAGGAGAAGAATTGACAGAGATAAGAAAAGGTTCGATTCTGGATGCTTTTTATAGTTTTTTTCAGTCGGTTCTTAATTGTTTTTTAAGTCTTAAGATCATTTGATCCTTTGGACATTTCGTTTTTCAAACTAGTTAATAATGTTTGTATAGTAATTAGCTTTTGCAGTAAATCCAAACTCCTGACTAACATAACACATATATAAACGTATGACATGTGCATCCACAACTTTTACTAAGAGCAAAGAGAATACTTTAAGAACAAGGTAAGACAAAGATATGATAACTTCGAATGTATTAAGATCGAAAGATCCACACGAACATGAGTAAAATAGCAAAAGATTTTTTATCTGTTTATCAATCGAAATAGAACAAAGTAAAAACAACGCATTTTAATTAATCGCATAAAACTCGTTGAGGAGTCTATTTTCCTTTTTAGTACTACTATAGAAAGGTAGGTCTTTTTGAGCGTGAACACTTCTCATTTGCGAGCATCGACTTTCTTCGCGTCTCTCGCTACAACAAACAGAGACATTAAAAGATAAGAAACATGAGGCAAAGATTGTGTTTTTGATAAACCAAAAAATCGCAAAAAAAGTATGCGTTCAGAGGCTTTTACCAGCTTTTTCCTCTTCTCGCTTCTTAGCAGCTTCTTCTCTCTGTTGGCGAATCAGAGCCAGACGATCTGTAAACAAACACGGGATAAGACAATCGATAAGCTCATCTGCCTGCTAACATAGAAAGAGACATGTGAGAACCAGAGATTCATCGTTGCTCACCCAAATCCTTTCTTGCTTGTTCGGTTTTGCCTTGCTCCTGCAACCTCATGTATCGCTCATGAGCTCGCTGCTTCTCTAGCTCCTCCCTGCATATTAAGAGAAAAGACAATAATAATAGATGGAATTTGAACCGAGCTCCTTCTTAAGAAATGTTCAATAGTGGCAACAAACCTTTCACGCCTTGAGAGCTCAGTGGTTTTGCTAGCCTAGTTAACATATGAGGAGAACAGAAGAAAAAAACAACTCAAAGTTATTAAAGAAGACAAACACATGCATATGTGCAGAATTTACAGAAACTGATTACACTGAGAGCTTACATCAAGGTCTCTTGCTTTTAAGGTCTTTGGTTTTGCTCTGTTAGGGTTATCAACTTCGATTAGAGCTTCATGTCCTTTCTTCTTCACCTGATATTTATACACCAAGTAGAGATGACTTGACTTAACAATGATAACAAGGCCACATAACATTAAGGGTTTTACTCACATCAGATTCATCTTCGGACTCTTCTTCAGATTCCTCTTCAGACTCCTCTTCAACATCTTCCTCGTATTCAGCTTCTTTCTGATAAGGTCATCCAAAGAAAGGCCAAATCATCCACCAGATACGTCAACAAAAGTATAAAACTTGCAAGAGACAACAACCAAAAAGTACCTGTTTGAATGACCGAGGACGTGCAGCAGAAGTCCCAGCAACTACAAAACAAAACAAAAAAAAAGAAGAAAAAACATCAATCTTGAACTATGTATCCCTATAAAACCCGAATATATATATCAATCTGGTTACACTACATTGAACACATCACAAGGAAAATCCTATGATCACAGAACGCACGATCACCCAAGCCAGAGATTTCATACAGCAAATTACTCAAGCAAACAACAAAAGGCTTATCAATGGTGATGACTAGATCTCACAGATATTGCCGCTACAAAGGGATGAATCAAGCAAACAAGCCAAGACCGGTCATACAAAGACAGAGGAATAGTTAAGAGCTAGACCATTCAGATCATGAGAGTTACATAAAATCGAGCTCAGAACCATTCAGATTAAAACCCACAGAACAAAAGCAATCTGGACTTTTGATTATTCCTCAGCTAATCAGAAATTGTTAATTCCACAGCTAATCTAATTTAACAACTCGCAATCCAAGAGGGTTAAATCGCGCAAATATAAAAATTCCACAAATTTTAAGCAAAGGCCAAAAACTACTCTAACAAAATCGAAACTGTGTGAAGATTCATATCGAAACTCAGAATTCAAAACCCTAAACTCATTAGTACCCAATGGTTATCTGATTCTCTTACATCATAACAAGAACAAAAAGCAACAAAAAACGATTGCAAAGTATGAGAAAATCCTACGTATTTCAGCGGCACTAGAGAATCGGCGTTGGCCGGTAGGTTTCCCCTTGAACTTGCCTCTTCCCATCGTCTCGAAAAAACCCAAATTCCCGAAGAAAGCAAATCAGAAACGGAAAAAAGAAAGGAAAGAAGAGAATTTGATTCCCGACTTGAGAATACGAATCGAATAAAGATTTGGTCTTGTTTTGAAACAAGTGGAGGATCTCTCGTCTTCTCTTGCGGTCACGACTGAGAGACGAAAACCCTAAAGCCACCTGTGACTTTTTGGGGATTCTTCTGTGTTTTCAGTGTAGTTATGATTTGTTCCTCTGCTTCACGGTGTACTAAAATACCGTGTGGTACCTATTGGTCGAACGGTCATTAGATCGCGTTGCTGTTAACTTTTTACTTTTTTTGGTAGCCATGTGTATTTCTTGAATAACCAGAAATAGAAAATCAAAATAATAGAAATTCTGTTTTTTTTTTTACTTTCTCCGATATGTATATTTAACAATATGCATAACTCAGTATATTTTTTTATTTAAATATGAAATTTTATACTATTTTTTATTTAAGACATAAATTACATAGATAAAAAAAATCGAAAAGACTAAAATAAAGATGCAAATATAAACAAAAATAAAAAAGAACAATTAATGATAAATTAGACATATTCCAAAACACACGAATGAATATCTAATAATAAAATGCTGATTTCAAAAATATATAAATAAAATTTGCACTTATAGTTTATACAAATTTGAGTTTTTATTATTGTTTCTGTGAAAAAATCCACACCAAACCAGATTTCATATCCTTCAGAAAATATATTTATAGCTTCCTCAAAAACAAATACAAAAAAAAAAATCTAATCAACTTAATCACAATCAGTAGCACGAAAGCTTTTGGGAAGGAACAGCTACAAAATCAGCTGCTGTTTTTCTTATTTTCTTTCTGTATATTAATTAAAAAAAACTTAGACATGAAAGTTAAGTAAAGTTACCCAAGTTTCAGCACTGAATTTGGATACAGTTATATCTATAATTTTACAAACAAAAATAATTTTTATTTAAGATAATAATATTTTATTATCTAAATAAATTATTCATATTGGATTTGAATTTAATTTTAAAATACCCAAAATCAGTAGAAACGACGTCGTCGTCTTTTTTCCTGAGAGTCTCTGGAAAATATCAATATTGCAATAATCTCCTTTTCCTTTTTTTCCCCAATTCACCTTCTTCCTCGCACTGTCTAGGGTTTCGTATCTCGCTCCTCCTCGAGGAATCGATCTTGCGCAATAACAGGTTTGTCTATGCCTGATATCATTCTTAACTCCGATCTTAACCAAATTATTAAACTTCGGCTGGTTTTCCCCCAAAAAAATCTGTGATTTTTCATTGATTGTGCGCTTTTTCAAGCTCATCTAAATTAGGTTAATTTTCTCTTTGAGTCTTGGTTCTGATTTCAATTCTTTAGATCGGGTAGCAATTTTATGAGATTTTAAAGTTTTAAATCTTCTGGGCAATCTCAGACGCGATTGAGATTAGTCTAATCTCTTTCGGTATTGTGAAAGTATTGATTTTTTTTTTCGAACTCACTGTTTGATTCTTTAGATCGAATTTTAGCAATTATTGATATATCTTTGTGATTGGATCCTTCTGGGTACTTTTCTCAATCCGTATATTTTGATCATTACGAAGGTTTAGTTGGATTATTGTGAAGCACTGATTATTATTTTTCTTTCTTCTTGTTCGATTCACTGTTTATGCAAAGCTGCTTGAAACAATGGGAAAGAGGAAGTCAAGAGCAAAGCCTGCTCCAACGAAGCGAATGGACAAGCTTGACACAGTCTTTAGTTGTCCTTTCTGCAATCACGGGTCTAGTGTTGAATGCGAAATGTAAGTTTTTTTTTTTCTAGCTTAATCAATTATACAATACGAGGAACGATATCTTTTGAATTGTTTAAACTCTATATGGTGAATTCCCCTGTTGGTCTTTTTCAGTAGTATGAAGGACATGATTGGTAAAGCAACTTGTAGAATCTGTGAAGAAAGCTTTAGCACTACTATCACAGGTTTCTTTCTTTGTTTTCAATCTTTCATAACTTTTTTTTTGTTAGTTTGGTTTTGCTTTTCATCTGATCAGATCATTCTTTCCGGTTCTGTTTCTTGCAGCTTTGAGTGAAGCTATAGACATGTAAGTACAAATATGTTTCCGCTTCTCGCTGTTCTTATTTCACCATGTTTTCTAAATATCTGGTTTGCCACGAATGCAGCTATAGCGAATGGATCGATGAGTGCGAGAGGGTTAATACCGTGGAAGATGATGTTGAGCAAGAAGAAGAAGAGGAGGAAGAAGAAGAAGTAGTAGAAGAAGAAGAAGAAGAAGAAGAGGAGGAAGATGAAGATGAACGTGTCTCTGTCAAAAGGAAGTATAACTACCGAGACTAATCTTTATCAAAAAATGCCATGCAAGTCCTTTTAGACAATGGCCTTATGTTGTAATATCTATATCTGAGGAAATTACAAGAACAATCTTTTAGTGTTTTCTCAGTGGCTTATACATTTTATGATGTACTAAAAACCCAAAAACGAATGCATTTCATTGTTGTTATCTATCATCTTTGATTACTTCTGTTTTTATATTTTCTGAATCAGTAACCTCAGCCCTCTACACATCAAAACTTAACAACGATCAAGAAGAAGAAGAAGAAGAAAACCAAATTTAGAACCGCGAAGAACATGTAATGAAAAAGTTGCTTGCAACTGTATAATAATATTGATAACATTATTAAAAAAAAAACTACATAATATCACTGTTTCTAGACTATTCATTGTCTTTGACATTCATTACCTTCATTTCCTCTTCTTTCACATCCACAGATGAGTCGGTAACCTCAGCTCTATAAACATAAAACCTAACCACGACTAAGAACAAGACGAAGTTAACTAAATTAAGAACCGCAAAGAACAAGTAGTAATAATCCAGCCTAGACTCATTAAGATTGTTCAAAATCCATCCATTTCCTCGTTTCTTCGTTATCTCAGAAACCGTAGACAACAAGAAACTGCTCATGAAATTCCCAACCGCTAAACTCGTTGTGGAATACGATGTCCCGAGACTTTTCATGCTCTCAGGGGCTTGGTCGTAGAAAAACTCGAGCTTTGCAACTTCTAAGAACGAATCAGCCATACCCATTAACACGAATTGAGGAAGCAACGCAAAGATCGTCAAGGGTAGTTTTACTCCAGTTTGGTGGATGAGTCCATGATCAGCAGCGACTTTGAGTCTATACCTGTTACAAAAGAAGTGTAAGAAAACATGGAATTTATATTTTTGTTGTTAACCTATACAAAGTATATTGTGTTACTTTATGAAACTCATATATACTATAGTCTTGCTAAACTCATATATCTTAACAAATACCTTTCGGTGACAGATGCAACGATCATGATGAGGATGTGAAAGATAAGACCAATTCCCATTCGTTGAAGCAAAGTAACGCCTCTTGGATTTCCAGTGAATTTTCGGGTTATCTTGACAAAGACTCGATCGTATAGGACTATGGAGATGAGCATCGAGAGTGTGACAAATCCGCCGAGACTCGCTGGTGGGATGCTGAAATTTCCGGTGACTTTTCTGTCTAAAGTGGTTCCTTGTTTGACAAACAAAGTGTTGACTTGAGCGATCATCATACTTGGGACGAAAGTTATGAACAGAACCGGTAACATTCTCAGCATTTGTTTTGTTTCTTCGACTTCTGTGATAGTACATAGATTCCACTTATGGGTTGTTCCTGTTTTGAGTGAAGCCTTGTCTAAAAACCTGCTACAGATATATTTAGTAACATGTTAGGTACTTTATGATATACTAAGGAATAAATTGAAAATGACTAATCTTAACTAAAAATATATACACATAACACATTACCGTAGACTTGGAGTGGCCTGAATCGGAAAGGCGCCTTTCCGTTCATATTCCATTGAAGGCAGCTCGTGGAAGCACGTGAGGCCACGCGCCATCGGCACCTTGGCTTTACGGATTGAAGCCACAATGACTCGAGCCATCTTCGTGAAAGGACTTCCCGTTGGGAGTTTGTGGCGGTAAAACGGAGTGCCCATCAAGAAAATAGATATCGAAATAGCAAGGCCTATTGTTGGAAGCCCATAACCTAAAGCCCAGCCCACGTTATCTTGAACATAGACAAGAACAGTGTTGGCAAAGAGTGTACCAAAGAAGATACTAAACATCCACCAGTTGAAGAATGATAGTTTGTGAGTCTTCTCCTTTGGATCAAACTCGTCGAACTGATCGGCTCCTATTGTTGATATGTTCGGCTTTGTGCCGCCTGTACCGATCGCTAACGTGTATAACGCTCCAAAGAAAACCGCTAATTGTAAAACCGAAGCATTTTTGCAGTTTTCCCCATTAGCAGCTGAACATTCGGGTGGTTTGATTCCCGGTATAGATACTGATAACGTTAGCACCACCATCCCCTGAAATTGATAAACGACTTAACCGGTTATCTCGGAGTTGTGAATTGAAACACGTTGAATTACTCTTTTCGGAGTTTGCTAGTGACTAGGATATATCAATTTGTTTTAAAATTATTACGTTTACGCGTTGATATCTTTTAAGAGGAATTATTTTTTCTATGAATGGAATGTGTTTAACGTTTATGCATACAGCTTGCAAAAAGTCTTGATGAAAAACACCCAAGTAAGAAGTTTAGAATCATTTAAAAAACACTAGAAAGTTTAGTATCATTTGAAAATCTTATTTAACATGTACATATATATGTAGATGTCGTTGACAACAAAAAATAAAAGTTGTAAACAGAAAGGTAAAAAAAAAGCAATCTAATCCTAAACCGACTTTACTATATATAGTACTACTAGTAGATAAGTCTTTCGAAAGTCTTATTTTATTTTTTCGATATCCACAATTTTAATCGTGTAGAAACACTTTCTAAAATTTTCGACCGAGACAAGAAAATTTTAAAAGAAATAATGATTTTTTTCGAAGTCAACTTTTTTCAAAGTCTCGATATCAACAATTCTCATCGTATAGTTCCAAATTAATACACATTTTTCGTAGAAAAGTATTCCACGCTTCAATGATCAGAAGGTAAAAAAGACAGATGCTTACTCTCTAGTGTATACGAACAAAAGTTTGGATAGATATTATTATTGACTCTAACGTGGAATTTTAGTGAGTCGTTGCCTTATCTCTTTTCTGTCTCGTTGACTCGTTTTTAAATGTTTTTTTTATCACTTATCTGAAACCAAAATAGAATATATCACTTGTTAAGATGTAGATCGTTTCTGGCTAAACGCATAATATAAACCTTATTTTCGAGAGTTAAAACAATTTCCACCCTCGGAGCTATAACCAGATTAAGACAGTAGTCAGAAGGCTCTAACCACTGTGCCATGACGAGGCTTATTAATAATAGTAGTATTATCTTTAATTTTGATAACCAGCTTATATTAATTATTTTTCTGTCTATAATTTATTAATGGTTAGTATATATTCATATATGTAAACCTTCATGTCGTTGGTTCTAATTTCTACAAATATGACACACATACAATGTGAAAATGTAGTGTTACTCGGTTAAAGAAAACGTTTCATGAATGGCAAGAAAAACATATTCATGCATTTACCAAAAAAAAGAAAAACATATCCATGGATCGTCACGTTTTTGGACTCCCACGCCTAACTTACCTAATTTAGTTCTATATGTGGTCACGACTTTGATATGTTTAAAAAAGAAAAGTTATTTCTTTTACGTTGTATTTTTGAGTTTTGTAGAATAAGAAATAAACTCACCGAAAAATAGATAGCACAAGAGATGACAAAAGTAATGTAGCGGCCGAGATGAGCATCTGCGACGTAAGCACCCAAGATTGGAGTGAGCCAGCTAGTCCCGACCCAATTAGTCACATTGTTCGACGACTTGACCGTTCCTTGGTGCAATTTGGTAGTCATGTAGATCACTAGGTTGCTTGATATCCCGTAATAAGCCATCCGTTCGAATACCTCGTACACTTATATCATTTTAAAACATTTTCATTAGTTAATATCAAAAGAAGGAATGAGATTATACAGTAGAACTTTAACGAGAAAAAAAAAAGATTATACATTATAAGCAATTTTAATGTGAATGTGTAAATTAACATATGTTGTTATCTAATGTCAAAAGAAAACTATAAAAGAAGTCACATGAAACTATTAATTTTAAGTTCATATTGGTTTTAATCCCTAGTGAGCATCCTAGTGTAAAGTATTTTGCAGACTTTTCATATGAAAAGATAAATTAAACTTTTCATATGAAAAGATAAATTAATCGGTGATATTTTGTGACCTATAATTGCTGACCTCAAATTTATTCCATATAGATTTTGTTAATCGGATAAGATGCCTGACAAATTTTTACTTTTTTTCTCTTTTCACCATTGAAAAGTTTCCCAGACTCATGGGAAGATTTAAAGATATACTTATATCAAAATCTTTACAAAATAATTTTTCTTATAAAAAATTGTTAAGATTAAAGCATAGTCATGGTGATAATCAATTATTTATTGGAAAAAGACAGTAAATAATGAAAGAAGAAATACCAACGACGAAGGAGCAAGCTTTCCAACGACCTCTTATGGATCTTCGAACAGGATTGCCTCGAAGATCAACAGTTCCATCTTTTGTGTAATCATCTCCTACCTCTTCTACTGTCATTTTTCTCTCTCTCTATTTTTTTTTTCTTTGTTTGGTAGCTTCTCTGTTTTTTTTTTTCTAATGTAGATATTTGTGTGAAGAGAGTGGGCGCTTTTGTCTCATATATATACAAAAGAGATGACGGGTCATAGATAAAGAGAATCTTTTGATGTAGAACATAAAATAATTACTGACAGACAGTTATTAAACTTAACAAAACAATATTTAATATATTATTGGCTACACCTGGAATATAATTTTGCAGGATATAATCCAATAAATTTATCTGGAATACATCATTCCATTAAGTTTTTAATAAAATAACCAGTTTATAGTCAAGAAAACTTGAGAATAATTCCACATATCCATTTTCTGAAGGGAAAAAAAGCAAGTCCTTCCTAAAATTTTATCCCTTGTGTTCCAGTTCCCAAACATTAATCAATATTTATCCTCTCATTTTTTTCCATTCTATCCATAATTATTCCTCTATTCATCACATTTCTTTTGACAACAATCCAGTTACAGCTAGCTAGCTTATCACCATGATTTGTCTTTCTCATCATATACCATCCTCAATCATATGGAGATTGATGAGATTCTATGTGCTGTTAGTAAAGATCCAAAAGTGAATATTTCAACTAAATACAAACAAACAATCCAAATATTGAATGTTTGTCTGGCTTTTCCAAATGTTCAAAGAAAGGGAAAAATAGAATGTTTAACAATGATACTAGCCGTAAGCATGTCAATCAGACTATTTCTGTCCAATCCGACTTAAAATTTAATAATCTGGCATATATATATTTTTTTTTGTGCGAAGTATAATCTGGCATATATTTAAGTTCAGCTTAGTCTAGCCCAAAAAGATATCAGTTCTTTATTATAAAGTTTGGTCTCACTCTAACAAAATTATATGGCTATAATAGAGTTTTAAAAGTTTTTTTTTTTAAATAACTCCATTTTAAAAATATATAAAAAAGCAAAAATATTTATTGAAGATAAATCTAGATCGAAACAATCATCAATATTAATATAGTTTTATCAAATCCAATTTAAATTAAAAGAACAGTTTGACTTAATAAATCTTTATAATATCATATAAAAATAACATGAAAAGCAGTAAACTAATGCATATGCTTTGATTAATAATCGTGAAACGAAAAAATAAGAATAAGTGTGGTTTCTTTTCTTTTTTCTTTTTTTTCTTTTGAAGATGAATAACTAGGAAACTTTTAGGTTTGGCTGGTTGGTAAAGATCTCACGAGTGATACGCAGCATACGCTGACTCCATTTTTCAAATTCCACTTGTGAAAAAACTAAAAATTGATTCGGATTTAGTTTTTATAATAAGTTACTTGAAATTTTCATCAAAAAATTCTGAAAACTGGCCATGTTGACAATTTTATACTATATGTTTCGTCGTAACGTAATGATTCCGAAAACATTGCTTGAAGAAGCGATTATATTGATTTATTACTTATTAGTTCAATAATTATATAGCAACTTACTATATAAATGACAAATGAGTTCGATTTTTTAAATATTCTGCATTCCTTACAAATTTCCCTGCTTCACTACGAATCATGCTAACATTTTGACATTTTTTTAATGTACAGTAATTGTTGATTTGCTTATTTAGCTAATTTCTGTCATTGTTGTTCTAGAATATACGAAGCCAAGAGATATTTTCACACTTCCATATTTGGCATGAACTGTTAGGTTTTTGTCGAAATCAATACAACAATAACACATATGTCTCTCCTTGTGAAGATACCTCAGCTTTTTCAAGCTTTCCTAAGATGACATCTCAGCAAAAAGATTAACCAATGAAAATATTTTATTAATACAACTTATTAAAAATATTTTCAATTTATTTGTATCAAAAAATTTATCCAAGATTAACAACTGAATAAAACCCATTACATTAGAAAGCCCATAAGATCTTTTGATATAAATAATTATTTAAAAAAAAACAAAATTTCTCTCTTTTTTCCATCAAATGATCATTAAATATCAGGTCTCCTCAATCTTATTTTATTACTCTGCCTGCTGAATCGGATTTTTAGGTTCTTCTTTTTAAAGAAATATGGATAAACAACAAGATACTACTAGAAATTTTTTAGTTTACTTTCACATAAAACAACCTTTTAGTTTTAAGTTTGATAATAATTTTGCTTTCTTTTTAGGTAGAAAGATTCCCAAATTATTATCCTAATATAGTTTAACTTTTGGCTGACTTTTGCAGAAAAATACAATTTCACAGTTTTTTCGAGAAATTACAATTCGATTTTGGCGGAAAAATACAATTTCTCAGTTTTGTTAAGAAAATACTATATCTCGGTTTGGCGAGAAAACAATTTTTCTTGGCTTTGGCGGGAATAGGGAATTTCTCAGTTTGGCGGAAATAGGGGATTTCTTCGTTTCGATAGAAAATTGTGATTTTCAGTTTTGGTAAAAAAACAAAAAAAAAATTTGATTTTGACGGGAAAACAAAATATCTTAATTTTGACGAGAAAATGTGATTTTCGGTTGTGATGGGAAATGGAACTTTTTTAATTTTGACTAAAAAATGTGATTTCTCTGTTTTGATAGAAAACACAAAGTTTTGACTTTTGACGGATAATATGATTTCTTAGTTTTCGCAGAAAAATGTGTTTTTTCCAGAGAAATTGTAATTTCTCGGTTTTGATAAGAAATGTACATTTTCAGTTTTTGACAAATAGTGCGATTTTTTGGTTTTCGCAGGAAAAAAAAATTCCTCGAGAGATAATTTAATTTTTGGTTTTTGCGAGAAAATGTAGTTTATCAGTTTTGGTCGAAAAACGTAATTTTTGGACTGACGAGAAAATAGATTATTTGGTTTTGGTGGAAATAGACGATTTCTCGGTATCTGCGGGAAAATCAATTTTTCGGTTTCGACGGGAAAATACGATTTTTGGGTTTTTGTAGGAAGATGAAATTTTATGGTTTTGGTAAAAAAACATGATTTCTCGGTTTTGGCGGAAAAACACAGTTTCTCGCGGGAAAATGTGATTTCTTGGTTTTTGCGGGAAAATACAATTTCTCTGTTTTAGTGGAAAAATAAAATTTTATGTTTGACGAGAAAATGATTTTTTTTTTTTTGTTTTAGCGGGAATATGTGATTTCTCAGTTTTCGTAGGAATATGAAGTTTTTGTTTTGATGGAAGATGCTATTTCTCAGTTTTTGTAAGATATATATTTTCTCTTTACTAAAATTTCAAGTTACAATATGTTTACAGTAACCAAAATTTAATTATTTAACTTCAACTAAATCGAAAGTTCAAGAGTCTAAATAGAATTTTCTGTTTAGTTCGAAAGCACAACAATGATTTTGATATAAATGTTATTGATTATAGTTTTGTGGTTTTAGAAACATATGTTTGTAATAAATATTTGATAAATAAATAAATTTTGTACTTCAAAATAATCATATTAATTAATAAAAAAATTTTTAAATAGCATTTTGCTTTACATAATAACAAAAAAGGATCAAGTGGCAATTTAGTAGAAAAAATATATTATATTTACCATTGGCATGAAAGTACTTAAAAATGTATTGCTTTATTTAGATATATATATATATATATTTATAATTAGTTAGCTAAACAAATTTAATAGCTATTTATAATTTTAAAATTAAGGATATGCAATGTTTATTCAGATTTAAAACATATAAATATATAATTTAAGATAATAAAAAAATAAAATAATACTCATTTATATTATAAAAATAATTTTATTATATTAAAAATATATACAAAATTTAGAAAAATATCCTGCAGTATACTGTGGATAAATACCTAGTATATACAATAATAGATTTCGACGTTTTTGTCTAATTAATACAACAACTTCATAAAAATTACATCTAAAAATATTTGATAATCTTTAGAGTTTTTAATGAAAAACATTTAAAATAAAAAGTGATCAAAAATAAAATTTTCAACTAAACTTAATGTAAAAATCTCTCAAATATTAGTTCATTAAAAAAAAATGTGTTTATAATAGTGTTACGAGCATGTAAATGAATAATCAACACAACAATAACACAAAAGTCTCTCCATGTCTTGACACCTCAGCTTTTTCAACTTACTAAAAACTGACACATCAGCAAAATCAACAATTAATCAAAATATTTTAATTAATACACATCATCTACTAAATTTTATTACTTTTTAATTTAAACCCGTTAAAAACTCAAATTTTTTTTTGTTAATTTTTATTTTATTTTTTGCCAAACTCAAGCCTAAATAATAAATAACAGTAAATAAAAAAAATATTTCTTTATTTTATTTTTTGTCAAACGCAAATCCAAATAATAAATAACAATAAATAAAAAAAAATTTATTTTTGCCAAACCCAAGCCCAAATAATAAATACCAGCAAATTAAAAAATTAAAAATTTGTGGATATATAAACTTTGATTAAACGACAAACTTATTACAACCGTTCGTTGATGCACTATAACGTCTTATGATTCAGATATATCTTAACATAAACTTGAAACAACAGAGCTTGGTTCTATATGCGAAAAAGTTTCGAATCGTCTTGTTATTGTTGTGAAATAGAGCTGAAAGTTATGCTAGTGGAGATGGTAGCTAAGTTAGTACATGAGCATGCGAGGAAGCAGTGTTTTTAGCTTGGTTTGTAATTTCCTCAAAAGACTCTAAATATCGCACGAACAAATCACCATTTTTATAAATTGCATCTCTCTATCTTTCACGATATCCAAAAATCTTATATATACCTTTTGTTTGTTGTATGAGTAGAAAAAAAAAAGAGAGTGAGTATTGTGTTTGGTTTATAATGTAATAGCCATCAAAATATTTTTAATCAAGAGATTTGTATTTGTGCTTTTGAATCTTTCTTTCCTTAATCTATAGTACTAATCTCCGTAAAATCATCAAAGCATTGCTTACTATAGCAAATTCGCTAAAAATATAAACTGAACTAAACTGAAAAATAAATCTATGAGAAATGATCAAGAAAAATAAGTGTGGCCTTTTTCTAACCAGACCAAGTTTTGGATTGGACTCGTGTGAGGCGTCTTGTGTAGTCGGCGTTATGAATTTTTTGAGGTGTTAAGTCTACATTGTTTTAGGATTTGGTTTCTCTCCACACCCAATTTGAAATTTTATTGGAAAAGTTATAAATCCAAAAACACAAAAAATAATTAAATAATTATTGTTATCAAATTTCTTTTTTTAAATTTCAACTGGTTATTATTCATAAGCCTTTGTAAGGCAAACATACAACTGTGATTTTCAGGTGGAAACTGAACCAATTTATAGTGTCTTAGTTGAGGTTTCTATTGGACTTAGTTCGCTAGGTTAGTTTGACAAAAACTGTTAAAAAAATAACGTAAAATAAATAACATAAGATTCATTAAAACACTTAAAATTAAAGAACTCTAATGAAGAAGATACTTACCCAATTAACAAAGTCTCAAGAGACTAAAAGATGCATAGTCATCACAAGAGATGAGAGATGCATAATCTCACTAGATCTCTTTCTCCAATTGTGTCACTTGACAAATTCATATCACTCATAGTTTCAAAATCTCCATTTAACCCTTTCACTTCAGATGTTTGAAAATGATCATTGTTTCGTATAATAATGAAGGAGAAATAATTTTGATTTAATAAAGAGGTATTTTTTTTATTCACAAGAATGAGATATCAAGATACTCAAAAAGAGAAGTTTTAGCGTGTTATAGTTGGCGTCTTTATTCTCTTCCAGATTCATTTATACTATAATTATCGATAGTCTTCCATGATATAAGTTTAGTATGTGTAAGATTAACATTTTATATTATACGATTTAAATAACATAGCAGCTCACAAAGGAGACAAAGTAAAGATAAACCCTAAGCTGATAACATTTAATTGCGAGGACTATATAAATATGCCAAACATCCATGAATATGTCTTGAGTGAACAATGGTTATTTCTATTTGTTATAAAACAGATTAACATAAAGTTTTTTTAGTAATGAAAAATAATTTTATAAAATAAATAAAAGTTTGTTTTAAAGAATAGTTTTATTGTGAATTTTTATATTTAAGGTATTTTCCGTTAAAAATAAATATATATGAGAATTAATTTTAATCTTGACCTTTTATATCCACAACTTATATATAGTTTTACATCATCCAAGTGTCCATTAGTGTTTTTAATTCGACTTCAACTCACCATTACAATCATTTATGTCCCTTTGAACACAACAAAATATCTAATACAAATATTTTTTTAAAAAAAATTACATTTGCACAAAATAATAAATGATGTGGCATAAATTAATGTTAAGGTGGTTTTACTATTAAGCTTCAAAACTTTAAAGTTCGAAATACTATTCTAAATAAATATTTTTGTGCCTGCATGTTCACAAAGTCTATAATCAAAAAGTGGTAGATCATTGGATACTTTGAACATGTTTTGGAGAAAAACAACTAGATGGGTGAGCGATTATTTTTTAAGTTAAAAAAATATGAAACTATGATGAAATTAAGTAGGATGTCATTTGAGTGAATTTTTATATCAATTTAGAGGGCCAGTTTAAGACAGTAAGGATAATACCATGAATTAAGTTCTTGGTGAGAGGAGATTCGGTTAGGTGCAATAATTACCACAGTTGAAGAATTGCACATAAACACGTTCCACCATATGTGTTGCCTTACATCCATCTCTGGTAAAAATTAGATAAACAGTGACTATGACATAAAATGCAACTAAAACAGAATTTCATTAACAGATTTGTATATTTATTAAAATATGCATAATATTAACTTTAATGTATTTTTATTTTATCAAAATATAGCATTAAATCAATAAAAAGATAATTAAAAAAAAATCTGCATAAATAAATCAATTTTTGTTTTCATGGTACTTTCATAATATACAAAATGTCAATATTACTTTGTTTTTTTTAGATCAAATAATATATTTTAAACAATTAGTTCAATATAAATATTAATCATATAAATAAAACGTTTAAATCAACTTCCTGCTGCATAGCGCGTATATACCTAGTGCTATATTAAAACTACACATTTTGAGTTATAAAAAAATGACAAATGTTTTGTAAAATTTCGAAAGATATTTTGATATATGAATCTATAGAATAAACCTTTCAGCTATAAAGTTAATATTGTTAATGAAAAACTGTTTGTAACTTAACAAAAACTCTTCCATCTTCGATCGCATTAAAACCTAAACAATACAACATTAAATCAAAATTGTGTTTTAGATCATTGAAAAATGACATCATCTTAAAACGACACGATTGCATATAAAACCAGTAAAGTGTTTAGAAATATCGAAATTCATATTAAAAAAAATCTTCAAATTAACGAACCATAAAAATAACGAATCCTAGATTCAGAGGCTTGAAAATTGATTGAAGAATACATAGATGTAAAATTTCTTGTACGGCTTGATAATTTATTACGTTGTATTTTGAGTTTTGTAGAATAAGAATGGGAAAAAAAAACGAATTAAAAAACCTCTCCGAAACACATATCTCCTGGATCAAGGAAAAATCTGAATCCTTATCTGGTTGATCACGTATTTAACCAGATTTCGGAACGAATATAATATGAACATGTTCAAGTGTCCGATTTACATAAATCATTTTATGTCAAAGGAAGAAGTCTACGTACGTCCACGTAAAGAGCTGTATCTAGAACACTAGTGGATATCACGAAGCTGCATATGAGAAGATTGGGAATGGAGATCATGACGACAAATCCGAAATCGAGAAGCTTGTGGTTATAAAAGCCTATTCAATGATTTTATAATTATTATTTATTGAACACAACCATACTGAAACATATAAAAGTAAATTAAAAGCCAACGGAGAAAAATCACTAAAATCAAAAGAAATAGAAAAACAATAGCAAAAAAGTCCCAGTATTGGTAGATTATTCATTCTCTTCGACATTCATCACCTTCACTTGCTCTTCTTTCACATCCACTAAATCAGTAGCCTCAAGTCTGTAAACATAAAACCTAACCACGACCAAGAACAAGAGGAAGTTGACCAAATTTAGAACCGCAAAGAACAAGTAGTAATAATCCAGCCTAGACTCGTTAAGATTGTTCAAAATCCATCCTCTTCCCCGTTTCTTCGTTATCTTAGAAACCGTCGACAACAAGAAACTGCTCAAGAAATTCCCGATCCCTAAACTCGTTAACGAATACGATGTCCCGAGACTTTTCATGCTTTCAGGAGCTTGGTCGTAGAAAAATTCGAGCTTTGCAACTTCTAAGAAAGCATCAGCCATACCCATTAACACGAACTGAGGAAGCAAAGCAAAGATCGTCAAGGGTAGTTTTACTCTGGTTTGGTGGATGAGTCCATGATCAGCAGCGACTTTGAGTCTATACCTGTTACAAATACACCAAAACAAATGTGTAAAGAAACTAACGTAGTACGAGAAAATATGAAATTACTAAAATTAGACACAGTTCGTAAAGTCATTTAATTAAATTTTTTTTTTTCGCTATTTAAAACTGTTCCGACAATTAGTTTGTGATGAAATTTAGCGACCAAAATATCTACTTTTTCTTAAGAAAACAATGGAGTATTTTATGCTATAGTCAGTTTCCTTTGCGTTGGATAAAAATAATAATTGGCAAAGTTGTATTGTAGTAACAAAATTATTTCACTTTTTTCTGTCGCTAACAGTACTATACATACTTACGTCTATAAGCTGTCACTAATGCAAGTCCTATTTATAAGTTTAAAGTATAGTATTAATATTACTTTAAATCTTATAACAAAGGATAATTTTGGATTCGCAGTTTTAAAAAGAAAATAAAAATGTAGTTTTAAGATGCAAGGTCGTAAATCTTGATAATACCTTTCGGTGAAAAATGCGACGATCATGAGGATGTTGTGGAAGATAAGACCAATTCCCATTCGTTGAAGCAAAGTAATGCCTCTTGGATTTCCGGTGAATTTTCGGGTTATCTTGACAAAGACTCGATCGTATAGGACTATGGAGACGAGCAATGAGACTGTGACAAAGGCGGAGAGACTCGCCGGAGGTATGCTGAAATTTCCGGCGATCTTTCCGTTTAGAGTGGTTCCTTGTTTGACAAACAAAGTGTTGACTTGAGCGATCATCGCGCTTGGGACAAAAGTCACGAACATGGCAGGTAACATATTTAGCATTTGTTTTGTTTCTTCGACTTCTGTGATAGTACAAAGACTCCATTGATCGGTAGCTCCTGTTTTGAGTGAAGCTCTGTCTAAGAATCTGCAACATATATATTTAGTTACGTGTTATTGTGTATATATATATATATATATACACTAAGAATTTGATCCGAATTATTCATATATTAGTATGAGCTAAGTATTTGTTTAGCTTCATATAAACGAATCAGTACGTTTCCTATGAAACTCGTGAAGTAGTGTACCAAATTGAATTGAAAAGTTTGAAACCAAATCAAACTCTTCCTATAAACTAATACTTACATTTTCTATTGAATTTTAAGTTGTGGAATTAAATAAACCAAAATCTTTCTAAACTAAAGTTGGCAAAGATTTCTAAACCGATGCTTTCACACTCGAAATCCAAAGTGATCTATTACCTTCGACTAAATAAATATACACATTACCTTAGGCTTTTTGTAGGGTGGATCTGAAATTTGCCTTTCTGCTCATATTCCAGCGAAGGCAGCTCGTGGAAGCGCATGAATTCACGCGCCATCGGGGCTTTGGCTTTGCGAAATGAAGCCACAATGACTCGAGCCATCTTCAAGAAAGGACTTCCCGTTGGAAGTTTATGGCGGTAAAACGGAGTGCCAAACAAAAAAACAGAAATAGAAATAGCAAGTCCCAAAGTTGGAAGCCCATAACCCCAGGCCCAGCCCACATTATCTTGAACGTAGACAAGAACCGTGTTGGCGAATAAAGTACCAAAGAAGATACTAAACATCCACCAATTGAAGAATGACATTTTTTGAATCTTCTCTTTCGGATCAAATTCGTCGAATTGATCGGCTCCTATTGTTGATATGTTCGGTTTTGTACCGCCTGTACCAATCGCTAATGTATATAACGCTCCAAAGAAAACGGCTAATTGTAAAACAGAAGTCTTTTCACAGTCATTAGCATCAGCCGTGGAACATTCAGGTGGTTTGATTCCCGGTATAGATACTGATAACGTTAACACCAACATCCCCTATATTAGATAAACGACTAAACCGGTTATTTCAGTGATGTGGGAGTTACCCAATCATTTAACAATCTTCCTGAATTTGCTAATATATTCATAACAACGAACTAAATCAATGCTATTTATGATTTTTTTTTATCATTTATTAAATATTTTTTTTCGTTTATAATCGTTTCATTTATATGAATATTACATCTTTTAATATTTATATCTTTTAACTTTATAAAAAATATAAAAATTAGTTTTTTGAGATGGATGTTTATCAAAAATGTTTAAATTAATATATCTTTGTCTTGCTTATATTTTTCTTATCTTTTGCTTGTTTTTTGTTTTTATTTTGTTTATTTTGATAGAAATAAAAATGAATTAATGTTAACAACAGTAAAAATTGTGATATTGTTATTCGAGTTGATATATATATGTAAAAAATACTACATATAAATCTCAGAGATAATAATATTTATTAAAACTATGTTTCTGCGGAAATACCTAGAAAGTATAACACCGATAGTTCTAAATGGAAAGATTTTATGTTTGTATTTACACGTTAAATTTTTACATATTAACAGTATTGTAATTTTTTTAATTATAATTGTACATGAATTCAAAGTATTAACTTGAAGAATGTCGCAGTACGTACTACTACTTTGTAGTAGATAAGTCTTCTAAATATGAAAAAATTGTTATTTCCATATTCTCGTATGTACAAGTAGAAACTGTGGAAAAAAAATCGATCGAGCCAAGAATAATTCAAAGTCAATTGTTGGCTCAAGAATCTAGTTCCAGAATCGAGCCAAGAGAATAAATAATACAGTTTTTCACGATTATTGTAATGCTATATACATATCTTGGGGTCAACAGACATTTAGCACTTTAGCAGTGTCCGTGCTTTAACTGGTTATATATAACACAGCACATAGATAAAATAGTTTTAACTTCTTCTGTATTTTTCATTTTGATAAGTTAGAGAATAGAAAATATACGTACCAAAAAATAGATAGCAGAAGAGATTACGAAAGTGAGGTAGCGACCAAGATGAGCGTCAGCGACGTAAGCACCCAATATGGGAGTGAGAAATATAGTCCCGACCCAATTCGTCACATTATTCGATGACTTGACCGTGCCTTGGTGCAATTTGGTTGTCATGTAAATCACTAGGTTGCTTGATATCCCGTAATAAGCCATCCTCTCAAATGCCTCGTACACTTTTATCATAACATAACATCAATACTATAGGAAAAGGATAATAAAGTATTGACGAATAATTAGATTATTAAAGAAATTAGGAAAATTTATGAGTTGAAAAAGGGGTTGTAAACTAATCTATATAGATTATAAGTTAGATGAGTAATAGTAGCTACACTATGTAATATCAAGAGGAAAAGAGAATGAAACAATACCGACTGTTAAGGAAAAACTTAACTTATATATAAAGAAAGCTGCTAAGATTAATAATAATCATTCTGATTGCTAGGATTCATAGGGCATAATCATTCTGATTAACTGTATACATTATGGAAAAAAGAAAACTAATAAAAGAGAAAAAAAATTAATACCAACGACGAAGGAACAAGCTTTCCATCGACCTCTTTGGGATCTTCGGACACGGTTTCCTCGAAGATCAACAGTTCCATCTTTTGTATAATCATCTCCTACCTCTTCTATTGACATTTCTCTTTCGCTCCTTTGTTTTTCTTTATTTGATATCTGTGTGACGAGAGTTTTTCTCATACATATAATGCGAGAGTTAAGAAGATAATGCGTCACAGATGCGAATCTTTCGACGTAACACATACGATCGTCCGAGAGAGTTTACAAAATTAATAGAATATGTGGTCTGAATGGAGAAGAGGTGCTGCTTCCATTTAACATATTTATTGACTAAAGTGAGGTCAACAATTTAAAACAATAAGAAAAGAGAATACAATGTGACATATTTGGTTTTTTTTTTCAAGATAAAAAGTATGTACCGTAGACGGCAGAATGCAGATGATGCCCAACTACGCACCATATCTTGATGCATGCGTACGAGTGCGTATATTTTTTTGAAAAAAAAAAGAATGTAAGTGTTAATATATATAAGTTGCATGGAAACTCCGTCCGAGGTACGTTTCTCACTTCCAAAACTCTTGGAAACTCGTCGGAAACATAAAAAATCATGTTTCCTAAAAATTCTAATTTGGAAACACTTTGGAAATATGTTTCCATTTTATAAACACGCGTTTCCATTTTGAAAAGAAGATAAAAACTAATTTCTTGTTTTTATAGAACAAATAAATAATTATAAAAATTAAATTAAATAATCAATTTACTTATTTATAGTAAATAATAAATATTTTGATTTGGTAATTAAGATTAATTTTGAGATTACTAAGTTTGAAAATTATTCTCTGGATGAATTAGAATTAGAGATAGATTGGTTAATGAAACTAATAAAATTGATAATAAAGAAAATCTTCTAAATTTTTGACTTTACATATTTTAAATTTTATAGTTTAATAATTATGTAAAAATTATATATTAGATTTTGTTGATTAAATATTCTACTTATAATTAGATCTTTAATACTTAATATATATATATATATATATACGTTTCCAAAACGTTTCCATTTCTATATTTTTTAAAAATAGCGTTTCCGCGTTTCGAAACATTCTGTTTCCACGTACCCGTTTCCGTTTCCGTGCAACATAGAATATTATCGATGGTGCAATTAATCAATACAACAAAAACACATAAGTCTCTCCAGGTGAAGACACATCAGCATTTTGGAGCTCTTGTAGAATGACACTTCAGCAAATTAATTAACCAATCAAAATATTTCATTAATACAACTCATTAAAAAAAATCATTCAAGATCCACACATTAGATAGCTCTAGATAGCCTACATACTGATGCTGTTTTCAAAACACATTAAATAGCCCAACCCAATTTCAATTTTATTCGCCAACTTAATTTCAATGAGGAGAAGAGGGAAAAGGAGAGAGAAGAGGAGAAAGAGAGAGAATTTGCAGAAAAATACAATTTCACAATTTTGGCGAAAAACTGCATTTTTCAGTTAACAAGATTTCTCGGTTCGATGAAAAAACAATTTTTTTGGCTTTGGCGGGAATTCAGTTTTGGCGGGAATATGAGATTTTTTGATTTCGGTAGAAAAATATGATTTTCAGTTTTGGTAGGAAAAATAAATTCTTGGTTATGTCTAAAACCGTGAATTCTCGGGTTTAGTGGGAAAATGTAAATTTTTGATTTTGGTGAGAAAATAATTTTTTTTTACTAGAAAACAGAATATCGGTTTAGATGGAAAATGCAACTTTTCAATTCTGACGAGAAAATGCGATTTCTCGGTTTTGATAGGAAATGCAAATTTTCGGACGGATAATGCGATTTTTTTGTTTTAGTGGGAAAAATGTGATTTCTTAGTTTTCGCAGCAAATTGTAATTTGACGATTTTGGCGGAAAATACAATTTTTCGATTTGATGGGAAAATAAAATTTCTCGGTTTTAGCGGAAATCAGTAATTTCCCAGTTTTGATGGTAAATGCAAATTTTCAGTTTTTGATGAATAATGCGATTTTTTGATTTTCGCGGGAAATTGTTATTTCTTAGTTTTTGTGAGAAAACACAATTTTTCAAGAAATAATGAAATTTTTGGTTTTCGCGGGAAATTGTAGTGTATTGGTTTTGATAAAAAAAGTGTGATTCTTGGTTTGACGAGAAAATGATTTTTTTTAGCGGGAATAGATAATTTTTCGGTTTTCGCAGAAAAATGATTTTTTTTTTGTTTTTGACGAAAAATACGATTTTTTTGGTTTTGCATGAGGATGCATTTTTTTAATGTAAATTTTTGGCTTTTGACGAATAATCTGATTTCTTGGTTTTCGCGGGAAAATATTATTTCTTAGTTTTTACGGGAAATTGTAATTTCAAGATTTTAGCGGAAAATGCAATTTATCAATTTGATGAGAAAACAAAATTTATCGGTTTTGATGGGAATGCAAATTTTCAGTTTTTGTTGAAAAATATGATTTTTTGATTTTTGCGGGAAATTACCATTTCTTAGTTTTTGCGGAAAACGCAATTTCTCGAGAGATAATGCAATTTTTGGTTTTCGCGGGAAATTATAGTGTATCAATTTTGGTAGGAAAGTGTGATTCTTGGTTTGACGAGAAAATATTTTTTTTTGTTTTGGCGGAATAGATGGTTTTTGGTTTTTGCAAGAAAATAAATTTTTCGGTTTTGACGAAAAAATACAATTTTTCGGGTTTGCAGGAAGATGAATTTTTTTGTTTTAGTGAAAAATGTGATTTCTCGGTTTTGGTGGTAAAACACAGGTTTTCGCGAAAAAATGTGATTTCTTGGTTTTTGCGGGAAAATACAATTCTTTTGTTTTGGTGAGAAAATGAAATTTTAAGGTTTACGGGAATATACGATTTTTCAATTTTCATAGGAAAATAAAGTTTTTGTTTTGATCAAAAATGTGATTTTTTGGTTTTTGTAAGAAAATAAAATTTCATGGGAAATTATTCTAAATTACAATATGTTTACAATAATCAAATTTAATTATTCAACTTCGACTAAATCGATATTTCATCAGTTCAAACATAATTTTCGATTTAGTTCTAAAACAATAGCAGTGGTTTTGATATGAATGTTATTAATTATAGTTTGATGGTTTTAGAAACATATGTTTATAATAAATATTTGATAAATAAATAAATTTTGTAATTCAAAATAATCATATTAATTAATAAAAAAATGGCATTTGCTTTATATAATTTCAAAAGATGATCAAGTGGCAATTTAGAAAAGAAAATAGATTACATTTGTCATTAATATGAAAGTACTTAAAATATATATTGCTTTTATTTTTACATATACATTTATAGTTAGTTAGCTAAACAAATTTGATAGCAAATTATAATTTTGAAAAATAAAAAATTAAAGATATACAATATTTATTCAGATTTAAAACATATAAATACAGAACTTAAGCTAATAAAAAATAAATATAATACTTATTTATATAATAAAAATAATTTTATTATATTAAAAATATATACAAAATTTAGAAAAATAACTCATTAACTCATTTTTCTAATACTTTGCACAACCAAAACAATTTTTTTTTCAGAAAAAACAACATGCTGTTTAATTAGAGTTACATGCTATTTGTTTTACCAGAATTTCCATCTCGTTAAAATTGTCCCACTATATTTTATTTTTCATCCCGATTTTAAATTTTCTATAGAAAATTTTGATATAAAATTTATTATTTTTACTATAGATATATTATATTTTTGTTTATAAAATAAAACCCATTAAATTTTATTTTTGATATACATATATTATATACTTAAGTAAATTTTAACCCACTATGAAGATATGTTACTAAGTTATTATATTGTCAATCCAACTGAAAAAATATGCTATATTTGAGTTATTAGGTTTATGAACAAAAAGTATGTATTGTTTTTACCAAAAAAACTTCATTTTGTGAAAATCTTCATATTATATTCTATTTATGATTTCAAATTTCGAATATCCTACAAAAATATATTTCCATATGAGATATATTATTTGAATATAAATGAATTATATTTTGTTTATAATATATAAACCATTAATTTTTATTTTTTGGTACATATGCATATTTGACTAAAGTTTATAAATTGCTCTTAAGACAGGTTATTATTTTTTATTTGTTTGTGTTTTTATATTGTCAACACAAACTATCATTAGTATTATTATTATTTAAGGTATTTATGATATAATTAGCTTAATAGTTTGTGTCCGTTTTTTTTTTAAACAACTAATTGTATCAGAGAAAAAAAAATATATTTACCCGAGAGAGAAAGAAAGAGTAAAGTGAACGTTCTATCTTAATTCCGCTGTGTGCTGCTTCAATTTTCCGATCAGTTTGATCAAAACTTCTTTTTTTCTCAGCCTTAATTCCATTAAACGTATCCCTATGTTCAGCGCTTAAAAACTGAAGTTCATGAAAAAACACCATCTTGATTCGCTATTGGTATGGCTTCTATGAAAAAACACCATCTTGATTCGCTTGTAAGTGAAGAAGCATCATTGTATGGCTTACATGTTGAAGAGCCATCAGTGAAAGCTCAATAAATTTTTTGTCGTAATGTGAAACCAAATAAAAGGGATAGTTAAAAGTTAAAAGTTAAAACAAAAATGACACCTCATGCTGACGTCAGCGGTAAATTCAATGCTTTGAGTTTTCCTCTGTTAAATTTTGAAAATGAAGACAGAAAAGAGAGGTCACAAGACTCGCGATATGGGAGGAAAGCCAATAGGAGATGGACAGCTCAGCGTCTTCTCTGAAAGAAAAAATGAAGAGAGTGGAAGAAGACCAGTCAAATTAGTTTTACTCAGAAAGAGTGATGAAGGTGAAAAAAGAGAGGCAGAGGCCAGCTGTAGAGTGCCACGTCAATAGCTCGTACTACTCTCGTTGTTCTGCATCTCTTTATAGTATTCTGAGTGATTGACATCAAAATCAAAAAACGCCATTGTTAAGAGATGTTGAAAGACAGAGTGAGAGAGAGAATACAGAGAAAGAAGAGAGAGATGGCTGATGAGTACACATACATGGACATAACGAGATTCACGGCAAACCCAGGTTTCTTTCTTTCTCCCTTCTCTTCTTTTATCTCCCCTTTAGCTTGTTTCCCACAATATCAGTTTCTCCGACCTAAAGACATGTTTTTTTATAGTGTTTCTTCCGTTCTGTATGCTTTTTTTTTCCTTTAACATGAAATCAGTACAAATATTTGATCTTTAGTTCAATAATCCATGGAAAATCAAGTTGAGTTATTTCTTTGATGCTGATAGTGTTTCTTCGGTTCTGTATGCTTTTTTCTTTCTGGAAACTAATAAAGTTTTAAACTTTCCGTCCCTGAAGCTCTGTTCTCACGTTTTTCCGTTTTCCCCATCTTTGTTTTCGCCATTCAGATGGTTTTTACGCTACCAACAGTTCGTAAGAAAGCGAGATGACAAATACTTTTTCTTTAACATGAACTCTGTACAAATATTTGATCTTTAGTTCAATAATCCATGGAAAATCATGGGTTATTTCTTTAATGTCCTTCTGTTCTGTATGCGTTTTTTTTTCTTTTTCTGAAACTAATTAAAGCTTTAAACTCTCCGTCACTGAAGCTCTGTTCTCACGTTCTTCCGTTTTCCCCATCTTTGTTTTCGCCATTGTAACTGTAATAGATGGCTTTTACGCTACCAACAGTCCGTACCAGAAATCGGGCCCAAAGGGTTTCATCGAGATGAAGGTTCTCGAGAACGACAAGCTCTACATCCGCGTCGACTTGCCCGGCGTTCCCGACGACGCCGCCCGCCACAGAGTCGACGCCCTGAGGAAAAAGGTGGTCTTTTTTTCCGGCAAGACTCTCGACGACGGCTACAACAAGGAAGGCGTTCGTGAGTACTCTGGAACCGCCGGCCTGGGCTGCGACTGCTGCGAGATCACCGGCGTGGATGACGTGAAAATGAAAGATGGAGTCTTGAGGATGATTGTGTCGAGGGTCAAGGTGAAGAACGATGACAAGAAGTGTACTCTTACTTTCCCTCCTTTCACAGGTTCGAATCCCCATTCCTCTCCCCAATATATATATATGTGTCTTGGCACCATTGTTGTGTAACTTGTAAAAAGCTTCGTTTTTTTACGATATAGGTAAATCTGGAAGACGCCAGGAGGATCATCCGTTTCTGGTGAAAGGTCCTCAGGGAGCAATGTTCGTTGGCGCAGGGACACGTGATGAAGGTTCTTAGATGTGCCAGGTGCTTGTACCTCTGATCTCCAATGGGTCGCCATCAATTATGGACTTAGGTTCATTGCTCAGACCAAGAAGGTGTGTGAGCATGACGAGAGTGCTCGTCTCTACCTTGGAAGCTTCGGCACTTTGGATCCTTCCACTGCACCTACACTCGACTCCATCACCGCCACTGTCAAATTTGGTGTTCTCAAGATTGTCACTGGACCTCTGCATAACCAGTAATCAATCTCTATCCTGCTTTTGTGTGTGTTTTTGCTATGGTGTTTTAAGGATTCTTATTCACAATCTAATCTTTTTTAAGCTAAGCTGGTTTTGTTATCGAGTCAATATAAGCTTGATCCATCAAACTGAAACTGGCTGATATTGAAAATTATGAATTTGTGTGAATCAAATTATAACACGTCGCCACACGATGAATAAGCTCTAACGAATTCAAAATGGTACTTTTACCACATAAACACACAAGGATTCAATGCAACATGTTCAAATGCAAGATGCGAGATTTTGATAAGATTGAAAGCAAACATTTTTACAGTGTGTTGAATGAGTTTCTGCGTCAAAGCCCATATATAACCCCAGGTCCAGCCCAAAGAAGATACTAAACATCCACCCATTGAAGATTGATATTTTTTGAACTTTCTCTTTTGGATCAAATTCGTCGAATTGATCGGCTTCTATTGTTGATTGATATGATGATATGTTTGGTTTTGTACCGCCTGTTATTATTGTTGCCAATGGTCGTTCTTTAATGTTTTAAATTTAAATGGGCCAATAACAGAAAGCCCATAATAAATGGACTCTTTGTCTTGACCCAACGTCAAAAACCGTTCCACACTTGTCTCTTTGGGTCACACGATCTAGCAACTTTTTCCTTCGTCAATAAATAAATTCCATAGCATACGCAAACGCAATGATCCATAATCTCACATTCCATGCAATTTACTTTTAATCATTATTGACGTGTAGATTTAATTCTCACTATTTGTAAACAAAACAGCAACAGAAGCTGCCAAGGTTCAAAATTATATAATATATATTTTTATCATTAATATAATATGCCGATCGACTCAGATGATATGAAGCCAAATGGGATATTCCATACGTTCAAGATTCCTCTAAATCTCAACTTTCTTCTTATTCAGTTCCTTACTCTTTATTTTATACGCAAAAAAAAAAAGAAACATATCCAATTCATATACACATATATAATAGTCAAGACAGACATTTAAGTACAGAAGTAGAGGAGGGAAGAAAGATGGAGATGTTTGTGAAGAAAGAGTACTTAGATTTGGTTCTTGTCCCATTTGGGTTAATCATAGTTTTGTCTTACCATCTATTTCTTCTTTATAGAATCCTTTATTATCCTTACCACACCATTATCGGTTTCATGAACATCGATAAATCCATTTGGGTCGAACGTATTATGCAGGCAAGTCCTCCTCCTTAACTGCAATATTTTCAAAAAAAGTTGCATTTATCGATAGTTAGTTCAACTGGCTACAAAATATAAACGATGAAAAACATTAACGAGATATTTGTATTATCTCCAAAACTTTTATTTCTATTTATCTTTTAATTGTTTAATTACCTACAGGCAAGAAAAGACGAATTGGGCGGTGCTTTAACTGTTCTTTCGAGCAGTATATCAGCTTCAACATTTATGGCATCCATTGCTTTAACACTGAGTTCACTTATCGGCGCGTGGATCGGAAGCTCGCCGGTCAATATGACGGTTTTTACCGGACATTTTGTATATGGAGACACAAGTTCAATCACAATGGTCATCAAATACACTTCTCTCCTCGTGTGTTTCCTGGTCGCTTTTTGTTGTTTTGTTCAATCCACGAGATGTTTCTTACATGCGAACTATCTCATCACAACTCCCGGCGAAGATATTCCGCCGGAAATGGTGAAAAGGGCGGTCTTGAGAGGCGGTAACTTTTGGTCGGTGGGTCTTAGAGCTCTTTACTTGGCTCTTAATCTATTGTTGTGGCTATTCGGACCGATACCGATGTTTATAAACTCGGTTTTGATGGTTACTTGTTTGTATTATCTCGACTCGAACTCGGTGGCTCAGCCTCTTTACCACCGGACGTTCAAGGCGGAGCAAACTGTTAAGATGATGAGAGGACTTTTGCCTGAACCTTTGACTTTTAGATGTAACTGAAGACAAAATTATTTGATTATTGATCAATTTGCCAACTTGGGAATTTCCAACGTATATATATTTATATAATCAAGTAGTTATTTATTATATTGAAACTTAAAACTATGGATGTTTCGTAAGAAATTAGTTAATATATTATTGCATGAGATTTGAGAAAGCCGTACGGAGCATGTTTCGGGAGCGTCTGTTGTTGTATTTTTAATTATTCACACGATACAGCATTAACGGCAACACAAAAAAAAAAGGTGAGCTGTTTATTTCGTTTCTTGGAAGCAACTACTTAGACATTTTCTCTTAACTTTGAATACAGTTGTTTATTGGATTGGACTAAATATAAAATGATAGACATCACTGCATCTGCATGCACTTGTTTTCATGTCTCCAAACCAAAACTACAATCTTAGAGAGAATATATTAGGCTCATCATGTACTTTGTACAAACCTTTGAGATGAATAGAAAAAAAAATTATTTTTACTTGTTGGCAGAGCACAAATTGTTAAATCTAATACTCTATGTCATTTTGATTAACTGGTTGGCTTTGATTTCAATTCGTATTTATAAATTCAATGTATTTTAATGGATTTAAATTTTGTTATTTTACTTTTACTTGATGGCAGAGCACAAATTGTTAAATGATCTATCTCATTTTGATTAACGTATTTATAATTTCAATGTATTTTTAATTTAAATTTTGTTATTTTAATTTATAAGTCTTCTCAAATTCATTAAAACTCATTACAAATTTAAATATTTAGTAAAGTATTTGTATTTTTTTTTTGGTGCGAAGTAAAGTTTTTTGTATTGTATAACATTAGATATTAATTAGGATTTAAACATCATATCATTAATTAAGAAGCAAGTTAGAATGTGGTTGAGAGTTATCATGGTTATTTACCTTTTATCCCTTATATTAATTGATATTATTATCCTTAATGAATATTTTTTTTTAAATTGTTATCTTTAATAATTTTTTTTTAAAAACTATCATTAATTATTTTTTTTTAAAAATAATACATATGTTAAAAAAACATAATAACACATATACATATCTTTATATAGATTTTACGGCTAAACTTATTTTTTTTTTATTTTTTAATCAAACCTAATGTATAAAACCCCTAATCTCAATCAAGCAAATGCTATAAATTGTATATATATCATCCATTATTTTTTTTCATAGTGTTTGCTCTTTTTATATGATAGTTATGTATTATTAGTATTGTTTATTCGCATAAACTCAGCTTTAAACGTGTTCTCTGATCTAAAACTTTTTTTCAGGCTGCATAGTGGGATATTAGATTTAGCAAATCAGGTAAAAATCGGGTGAGTCAAGGAGAAATATACCAATAAAAAGGTGATTTTATTAGTGAGCGTTCATTTTTTTTGCTTGGTGGTGTTGTGCTTTGTATAATTTTGATTGCTTTCTTCATATTGTTTTCTACTTTTCTCTTATAAACCCTTTTCCAACATATTTTGTGATCTTAAATCTTTTTTCTAGGGTTCATGGTGTGAGATATCAGAATCAAACAAGTGAAAACCTAGAGATTCTATGATCTTTACAAAAATGGTAATTTTATCAGACATGCTTATTATATTTGTGATGTTTATCTTTGATCAGATGATTAGACCGTGATTATTATTTTTCTCGAGCTGTATTAATTTGACTGATCTCTTAAACCTTATTACTTGGTTGTTACTCTGAGAACGATACCTTCTTTGTTGATTGGCACCAGTAAAAACAAGAAGTGATGGAGACAAACTAATAACTCATGCCCTCAGCCATGTGTTTAAATGAGGTTCCATGTACTTTCTATGTAGGCTCAACAGAGGGTAAAGAAGCAATGCATGTGATGCAATCAACAAAGATGATGTGGTATCAACTCTGCACAGGTTTTGTAAGTGTTGCATACATGCTACATGTAAGTGTGAGACTATTCCATCTTTTACATAGATTCGATTCTTGAATCTTGATTCAGAGGTGCTTAATATTTTTGTAAACGAAAAATAAAAAAACTCACAAAAACACCAAATTCTCTCAGAATTTTATGATTCACTTAGTTTTGATGTTAATTTGACAATGGGTGACAGTAGGAAGATGAACCATTCATTCACAATTTTTGGAAGAAAAAGTCAACGATGTCTTATAACTTTGGATCAATCTCCCTTTCAGTCACAAATTATAAAAGAGAAAAATTATTCATACCTTCTTAGATTTTACCTGTCAAGATTTCAGTTTTGAATCTCTGTGTTCTTTAATTTGGACACGTTTGAACATGAATATTCATAACTATCGAGATTAGACATCTTAAGAAAAGAAGAAAGTGAAGTTGAGGTAAATAAAAGGCATGGTCAGAGATTCAACATGGATTAAGTCTCCATTCTACACAACACTACCAGTCATGTTCATTGACCTTGTTATCTCTGTTTTGGACCTCAATGTTCTTAGTTAGCATGTGGAACAAGTCAACCTCAACGTCATTTGATTGCATACGGCGAGCTCGTGGTTCAGAGTAGTTTGTTGGCGATGAAATTACTGGTTGAGATCAATATAGCTTTTTGAGGAGTACCAGAATGCTAACAACGGGTTTAAAATGGCTGAGGTTTGGAAGATTTTGAACAGGCTTGAACGAATAATAGTGAAAAAAGTTTGTTAATGAAATTCAAATGAATCTTTTGGGTTATGCTTTCTTTATTTCACATTCAACATGAGATCAGTGTTAGAGGAAACAATAAGGCAATAACAATATGACAATCATCTCTTTTGGAAAGTTGGATTGGATTCGAGATTGTATTACAACTTTGACTACAAATCGATATTCTGCTCGGAGAAAGCTTAAATAAAGAGTCACATGTTCATAAATTCAACTTATATGTCACTTATCCGCCATTAAAACTGAGTTACAGAACAGGATTGTAATATGTAAATAGTCTTTATCTGCACAAGCGTGCCTAGTTTCTCAGACGGTGTAGGTTCAGAGGACAAAAGAAGAGCAAAGACAAGCCCAAATAGTTTCAAATAAGAGAGATAGGCTACTGCAGATACTGGTATGCTCCCATATATCATCAAATCGATATGCACCCGTGAATCAGTTTGCGTAAAAACAAAAGGTACTTAAGATAGAGAGGCACGAAGAGTAATAAATTCCCTCACTTCCTCACTAGAAACCCTCTTTTTACTTCCTCACATAGATTAAAGCTAAATCTTGCACCTGTTTTTGGAATAACACGTAGCCAAGAATGACAAAAACATAACAACGCTGATAAAAAACAAACAATATAGGTTACACTTTTACCCAAAAAAACCATATAGGTCACATTCAAGGGATTTCCATTTGCCATGTGTTGCAAGCTTTGAGGTTTTCTGTGGAGTGTTGGTTATTGATGTGCGTTGAATTTTTTTTTTGCGTAGATGATTTAGGTCTTCGATTTCGTATAGTTTTAAATCATTTATTTTGATTCCAGGTAACACAAAGGAGCCTAAATGTGATGAATTCTAGGGCTTAAAGCACAATTCTTGAGGAAATGCACTGTGGGTCTAGGCCTTAGTTTAAAAAAGCGTGCTTCAGGCGCGCCTAGGCGATAGGCGACATTAGGCGATCATGTAAACGTCTTAGTACCGTAAGGCAACGCGAGATCCATAAAGCTAACACCTATGATCGCCTTTGTACGCCTTATTACAAGGCAAGAAACGGTTAAAGCCACCACTTTTTGGATTTGGTTTATTATTAGGGCTGCGTTTGATGTTTATTGTGCAGTCACATTTTTTAAAACCCTAATAGTATAAATTACCTTGTTACTTCTATGCTAAGCCATACTCTATCACGTTCATTTTTGGCAAAACTCACAAATCAAGCAGCTTTACAGGTCCGCTCTCTATCTATCCTTTTTTTCTCTCTCTCTCTCTTTCTCTCTCGCTCTCATCTCACGTTCTCTGTTTCTTCTCTTTTTCTCTCACGTTTCCAAAATACAGATCATAGTTGTCCCCTTTTTCTCACCATGTCTGAATCGTAATCTAATGATCTGGGAAGCAAGTATGGAACTCGAGATCCTAATAATAAAATCAACTGGAAGTGTCACTTTTGTCCTAAAGTGGTCAAGGGAGGAATTTTTCGTCTAAAACAGCACTTGGTTGGAGGATTTTCGAATGTGACTAAATGTCCGTATTGTCCGGAGCATGCTAGGGAAGAAGTAAGGAAATCTATGATGCAAAAAGAAGCAGAAAAGCTACTATTCAGATGAACCCACCAATACCCGATGACATAAATGGTTACGATGGTGAAGGAGAGATGGAGTGTGAGGCAAGCCACAAAAAGCAACCTCACAAGCGAAAGAAACACAAGGGTCCAATGGACAGGTTTGTCACGTCTACTCCTCAAGATATATTCCAAGCTAGAAAAGAACGGAAAGGAATTTTTGGAGTTTGTGATAAGGAACAAAGGGAAAAAGTTTGTGGGTCTATTGCTAGGTGGTTTTATGACGCGGGTATTACTTTAAATGCCGTGAATTATGAAAGCTTTGGAGAGATGATTGAACAAATTGGACAATATGGATCTGGATTGAATCCACCAAGTATGTATGAGCTAAGGGTTCCTCTGCTTAAGAAAGAAGTCGAGAATACTGTTAATCAATTGGCGGAGCATAGAGAAGAGTCGGCAACTAAAGGTTGTTCAATTATGTCTGATGGTTAGCGTGATTCAGTTGTCAAGAAGCATATAATAAACTTCCTTGTCAACTCTCCAAGGGGTTCTATCTTCATCAAACTGAAAGATGTTTCCGAAGTTGTGAAAGATTCACAATTATTATTTAAATTGCTTGATGATATGGTTGAAGAAGTTGGAGAGCAAAATGTTGTTCAAGTTGTAACGGACAACGCATCAGCCTATGTGAAAGCTGGTAAGATCGATACATCATCTTTCTTCTTGAATTTTAATGTAGCTTGAATCTGATTTTTTTTTTCAAAAACGTTTTTTAGGCAAATTACTAGAGGAAAGGAGAC